CAACATAAAAATGCTAAACCTTTGCTGATCACAACTGCTTCAACTGGGCCCTCTTTTTTTTGCAGAACTGCTGGCAGAGTTCTTATACAGAAGGTTCAAGAGGCAGAGAAATTAGAGTGTTGCCCCAAGTTTTCTTCCTTGTCAAACAAGGGCACTCTATTGGGGGGTGCATGAGTTAGTTATATTTTACTGGTGACTGGTACAAGGGCACAGTCCAAAGAGTGAATAATACTAGAAAAGAAAAAAATGAAAAAGTCATGTTATTAATGACAAATTAAAATTAACTCACATGTAGAAGAGTTTCCCTCTTCTAGGACAGTAGCAGCTTTGGGGGGAAGGATTCTACAGACTGCACCCAGACGAGGGATCTACCAAAGAATCTTTTCTGTGCCTCTCTTGACCTGGAGAAGTGGCTGGAGTTTTCCTAGTGCAAGCAATGGGCCTGTATAATGTTGAGAAAGTCACTGTAGCAGAAAGCTAGCATTTAACCCTGGCCTATATCCTTACCCCTCCTCTTCTGTAGTACCAGCACAAGGAGAGGTGATGCAGCAGATTGAGGACTCCAACTGTAGCTATTGCAGTTTATGATATTTGAGATCTGATTTGTTGGTGACTATACAGTAAGGGTGTGTGTGTCCATCCCAGAAAGGCCCATTGTGGGGTTTATATTAAATGTCTTGTCAAAAATAGAGTGGAAAACTTTCAGATGGAAGGTTTGTATAGCACAATTTTAATTTTCCTGCTATTGCTGCTATATCAGTTAAATTTGTCCCTAAATGTCTTTTTAGGGACCAGCATAATCTGCAGGGGTTGAAAACTAGGAAGGACCTGTATATCATTACAGTGGACATGCTTTTGCAGGCAGGCAGCAAGTTCACATTCAGAAAGGCAGCTTTATATATTTATAGCTGCATGCTTCCCACTCCATATCATTTGGCACTGGCTGCGGCTACCCAGCCATAAGAAAAGCTCAAGTTTGGTGTTAGTCTCGTGGTTAGGTTGCACCTCCCAAGGTGAGGTCGGAGCTAATTTTGTTGATGTGAGTTTGGAAGATTGTAAAGTTCTGTGTGATGTTTCTTGACATATATATTCAGCAAGATCAAAAGAACAAAAGGTTAAATTAGGTATTACGCAAACTGATTATCACGCTGCTCCACTTCCAGATTTTATTTATTCTACTCTAAATACATGATAGCCCAATCTAGACTGCAAATACTCTGCATGGAGTTGGAAGGCTTAATCTTTCCCCCACTTTTTTTTTTCTGGAAAAATTCAATCCATGTGTGCCTGTGGTTTTTTAAAATAATTATTGCTTTGTTATCTCCAGTGGAATGTTTAATATGATCCTGCAAAGGAGGAATTTTAATTTTTCCAAACAATAGCAGAATAGGCTTTATGTGTGGAGAACAGGCAAAGGCCAGCAGGCCAGCATAATATTCAAGAATCATCTAGTTAGACCTAAGTGTTGATGCTGCATACCAGCCAAAGTACACTATTTGTCTACTCAGAAAACAATCCCATTGACTCCAAGGGAATTACATCTAAATAAATATATACAGCAGCTTTTTCCCAGACTGGGTTCCTCCACAGGTTCTGGGCTAAGGGGCCAGCCTTTCTTCACCAGAGGTCATCCTGCCTGGGACTAAGAGGAACCGCAGGACCAAAACATTTGGCAAGCCTTAGGAAACACTGTAAGGCATAACTATAGTTTAAGTGATAAATAATGCAATATTCAGAATTTCGCTTAAAACCTCAGTAGCTGGTCTTAGGGCAAGACAGTATTCTCTTAGCTTCAGCTCCTCACCATAAATGTGTGGTACAAATTGTAAAGATGAGCAAATGGCAGAATGTGTTATTACAACACAAATACCAGGCTTTTGTACTTGCATCCTGACATCAGACACAAATACGAAGTCCTGTGATATGCCTTGCAATGCATTTTTTGTTATTTGCTGCCTTACAACCCAATTCCCACAGATGCCTGTGGCCTCATTTTTGCACCTGCAGTGTGGGAATAATACTGACCTGATTTTAAGACTGTTGCTGCAAGTTGCTTCCAAAATTATCATTTTATTCACTTTAAAGAACCATATAATCGAAACAAAGCTAAAACTGAAAAGCTTTACAGCATTCATTGTTTATTATTATTGTGTTATTTAGATTCCCAAATAACACAAACAGTAATAATATATCTATTTTTTAAAAAAAAATCAGGTGATAATAAGGAACCTAAGAGTTTCCAAGAAAGGTATTTATAAACATGCTGGGAAACCTGAAATGAGAGACTATGAAGCAAAATCATAGCCAAAGCAAGAGTTTGTAAACCAGTAGCAGTACACATTATTTTCTTCCCCAAGATAACAAAGGTTTGTAATAAACCACAATAATGTTTCTAAATGTAACATTCTTCCCATTACAGTCCGAACAAATCAGAATTTATGAAAGTATGTGAGAGCTCCTATTCCAGTTGGAAATTCTCTGGAGGTTTCCGAACTTGGGTCAAAATGTCTTTGGTGAAAACAAAGGAAGAAAATGGCATGGCGACAGTTGAATTCAGGCAGGAGGTAATAATTTCTCATGAGGCTTTCTGACCACAGAGCTTTTTCTTGATGTACAAATAGTTGGGATTCTGCTTGCTATTGGCTGTAGTACCATCTTTAGTTTTGTCGAAGAGTGAAACACTAAAGGTGTATCAGAGACAGCGGAAGGGTACACACTGAAGACTTTGCAGAATTTGTTTGCTATTTATAAGTGTAAGCGAGAACACACTAGAAACCAGCAAAGTATTAAGGTAGGTAATTTTTTCCTAATCTTGCCTTAAGATTCTTAAATCACAATTTTAACCAGAGCTGGTTGGGAATTCACCAGGGATTTCCCAAGACACTTTTATGCCTGGCACCAAAGTCAAGACGTCCTCTCCAATTCTGAGTACGCAAATTAGTTAAACTGGCAACTTAATCTTCAGCACTGATGACAGGACATCTTTCACCATGCTTGGGATAGTAGGCAGGCTGCCCATAGCACACAGGGCTTCCCCCATTCGGATGCACCAGCACGTGTCCTACTTACACCTCAATATCTGCCCCCTAAGGCAGCTCCTTCACTTTGCTTAATGGTAAGACTGGTCCTGGCACGTTGCCTTTTTCTGCACCCTAAAGGCAACAGATGGCAAAGAAGAAATGCTCCATCACTAAGAAATGCATTAAACTCATAATAAAATTCAAAGCTGTATGTGAGAAGTTAGGCCTATCAACTACTGATCATTAAGAAATGATTCTAGTATTTCCACCATCAGTTATCTGTAAAAGAAAAAATGCAGCCATTCTTGAACAAGTTGTGTGACTTTCGCATTCCCATTTTGCTTTTTTGAGAAATAAAGGTTTTGTTGCTGGCTGCATTCCACACATCAGCCATTTTGGGCATTTCCCCCATTTTACTTACCTTTTGGAAGCCCATGTTGTTTGCATCCCTCATTCCTACCAAATCCTAGTAAGGTTGATTTTCCCCCCCATTTTTTTTCACCATTAGCCCCACAGCAGCCTGTCAGTTTTATTCTTATTGTTAAGGCACTTTAGGTTCTCAGGCTTTTTTTTAAAAAAAGTGTGTCTTGGCATGTTATATATGAATAATCACGTATTTTTCCTTTATTGTTAGATTAGTGTGGTTAACTACATTGAACGGAGGACAAAAGCTGGCACTGACCAGCTATTTTTTGTGGTGTTTGAATGGAAAGATCCTTTTATTCAGGAAGTTCAAGATGTGAGTAAACTTGGGTCATTTTCCATTGATGTAAGCTGTCAGCCTAAGTATAGATTAGGAGAATAAATAGGACTTCCACTATTTCCAAGATGACATACTTGGAATGTACTCAGAATAGCTAGAAATTGTCACTCTGTGTATAGATTCCCAGATGAAGGTCTATCAAAGAGCGATGTATGGCAGAAAATACGTGATTGCTGCTGCAGGCTGTGACTTCTCTGAGCTGTAATAACAACCGTAGAAGCATAACGTTTTAGCAGCAACATGTCTACTCAGAAGGAAGTTTCTTTGCATTCATGGCAGCTTATTCCCTGGGAAATTTATATCAAATTACAGCCTAAAAGTAGGGCTATTACAGTGGTGCTTAAAAGTTTGGGAATCCTTTTGACTTTTCAGTATTTCTGCATAAGTATGACCTAAAACATGATCTCCGCACAAGTCCTAAAACCAGATAAAAAGAACCAGATTAAACAAATGAGTCAAAAACATTAAACTTGTTCATTTATTTATTGAGGAAAGTGATCCAAAGCTACATATTTGATCACATTTTAGGTCATGTTTATGCAGAAATATTGAAAACTCAAAATGGTTCACAAACTTTTGAGTACCACTGTAGATAGGACAAATAATCCAGCTTTAGATACTGTTCTATTGACAGCAAGTCTCAATCTTAGCCATGTGGATATGCAACAAGGAAAATGACGTTGAAATACAACTTTTTCTCTTGGTCTGTTTGGAGAAGTAACTGAAAGTACAAGGAGCTTTCAATGTGTTAACTATAAACCAAATGTTTTATTACAAAATATTTCATAATAAAAATTAAACAGTAGCTCTTTAATCAACAGTTTAAATGATGAAATTAATTTATTTCCATAGATTGTCACTGCAAATCCTTGGAACATGATTGCTCTTTTGTGTGGTATATTCCTGGCTTTGTTTAAAGCAGCCGATTTTGCCAAACTGAGTGTGAAATGGATGATAAAAATCAGAAAACGGCATCTCAAGAGAAAAACTCAAGCCTTAAACCATATAAATTGAGAACAGTGTGCTTCACAGATTTCTGTTTCACTGAGAAGTACAAATAGGACGACTAAACCAATACAACCACTGTCTTATACAAGAGAACTGCATTAATGGAAGGACAAATTGCTTAACTGGATTGAATTTAACACTTGGAAGTTTTAGAAAATGATTGACTCTTTATAAATCCATACTCTTTTCTAAAAATATCATTTCTGTTACAAACTGCTACTTAGTGGTAGGTATTTAACTTTCTGTAAGAAAAGAAACAATTTGTATGGATGAAGTAGGATATTTTTTTAAAAAAATAGGGGGGAATTTAAAATACAATGTTTACCAGTAATAGTTTAGTTAATCCTGTTCCCAAGCAATGAGTCTGATCGCTAATCAACTCAGGGACAAAGACTTTTGCTCCAAGGCCTTCAGCTGGATATGCTGTCATCAGAGTACTTTATTGGAGTCTGATTCAGTATTAAGTATCACTTATATTCCAACTGTTGCTCTGACAAACACACTCCAAGGGATGAAAGCACATTATTAAAACAGTATGCACTAACTGTATTTTGAACATACCACTGATTAACAGCTAACCCAAAAAGCACGACAGAGATTGATCAATCAATATTGGTTGGCTGCAGGGCATAAGAGTTTGATTTTTTGGTATTTCTACCTGAGATAATAATTCTGTATTGGATTTCAGTTCTTTGTGTGTTGGACTTGTATTTGCTAAAGCAGGAACAATCTTTTTTATAAAAAGAACAATTGATCTCTGATAACCACTGGAGGGATTGTGTTGATATGATATACTGTACTGCCAGATTTGGGGTTGTAGTGCCATGTGCCTGTTTTGATTTGCCTACTCCTCTATTAACAGAATATAGTACAATAAACCTAAAAATAGCTCTTGTGTTTGCAAGAGTTATTATTAACTGAAACAAGACGGAACACTGAAAACACTGGCATTTTATCAAGTATTCCTATTAGATAATACTTACGCTGAAGATTTTTCAGTAAAATATACCTCTGTGCTACATTTGCAGGTAGTCCTTGACTTCCTTTAATGACCACTCAAAGTTACAACAGTGGTGAAAAAAGTGACTTACAACCGGTCCTTGCACTTAGGACCATCACAGTGTCCCTGCAGTCACATGATCAAAATTCGGACACTTGGCAACCGGCATGTACAGTGGGGCAAAAAAGTATTTAGTCAGCCACCAATTGTGCAAGTTCTCCCACTTAAAAAGATGAGAGAGG